TGTCCGGTATTCAATACCGGTATTGATGCAAATAATACCGAAATTACGGTATTACCAGTATTCTATCAAAAATTCAACTTACGCAAAACATATATCAAGTTTTAGTTTCCAAACTATGTATTGTGTATTGCCGACTCAGCTCGACTCAGCTGAGGCAAGATAAGGCGGTGTCGGCAAGATAAAGCGATTGTTTATATATTATGTGTGACAGCCAGCTAATAAAAGGGTTCATTTACAAAAGTTATTATGCGTTCACGTGCCTTGTTCCTATATAGAATTTGCTATCAATGATTTTTAAACATAATATACAATCGATGAGATATAATTCTTTATTTATTATATATAAATCATTTTACATAAGTAAGAACGGCAGTTGTTTAAATTGCGTGTCGCTGACAACATATTGAGAAATTGCGAAGTGTATTGTTAGTTAGTTAGTTAGTTAGTTCATATTAATAACTAATATAGTAGAAACACACCACGTAATGAATCATATTCTCAATTGTATTGCATTCAATATAAGAATAGTTTACATTGTAATAATCTTTTATCGATGAATTGCACACATCGCAGTAATTCCCGAGAAATCCGAACGGGTAATAACTTGACTTGCACTCCACATATGAAAAAATTCTATTGATCATATTCAAAATCAACGGAATTCCCTTAAACTAAATAAAATGTTATATAAAGCCGAAATGTAACTTTAAGTAGGCAGTTGTGTAAATTTCGTGTAGATAACATCTCAAAGTTGCGGGAAAATAAATGTTTATATGAAGAATAGTGTGTTTAATATTGTGTGAATATTGTGTGAATATTATGTGAATATTGCGTTCAATTTGAACTTATGATATTTATAAGTGAGTATATAAACCAAAGTTAATTAAGTTAATGTGTAATTACAAAATATTAAAATAAATACTTCACCCGTGTGTGTGTTAAAAAAACTCCAAGTCTAGAACAAAAAATAAAAGATGAAATTACTTTTTTTGAAAAACAGGAATAAAAAGAACGAATCTACAAAATATGTATAATTTCTTAATTACAATTGTACCAACAAGTGTAGAATCGGAAAGAGATTTTTCGGCGGCTGGTTATATTTATAATAAAATTCGGTCCTTGCTTGATGATCAAACAATTGATTGTTTATGTTTCTTAGGAGCATATTTTATTAGGCAAAACGTTAGCCATGAATTATAATTTATTCTTTTCTTAAATATATTGTTAAATAATAAATTCTTATTATAAATGTAGAATGTAAAATGTAACATAGAAAAATATATATTTTTTACTGACACGTTTTTTGTTTCTATCTATTTCTACTCCTTATGTAATAAATAAATAATACGTACTCATTTCAAGACAATATTTGTTAGATTTCATATATTATTTGTTAATATGTCAATATAACTGAAGTAAGTAAAAATATAACTATTTAATTTTTCATCGACAATACCGGTATTAAAACCGGGATCCCGGAATTTCATTTTTCAAATATCGAATACCGGTATTCAGATTTTTGTACGTTATTGGAAGCCCTAAGCTACACCACCTGCTCTTGAGTTTGATCGTTTGTATTGAGTAACGCAGTAATAGTTCTGAATATCAATTCGTTCTTCATTATTAATACAAGTTTCCGAAAATAACAAAAACGTACAACGTTGTAGCACTTTATCTTGCAGATCAGGCAAATGAGCTCGTAAACTTTGGCAGTTAAAGGAAAACAATGAAATGTCGTTCAAACTTATTATCTCACTCAATTTTTCTTCTTGTGTTATTAATCTACGAGTTGAAAGTCTTTGGAAATCAGTTTGTAAGTCCATTAATCCTGCTGGCCGTTTTCTTCCATGATAAAATTTTTTGTCGTTGTTTTAGAAATGATGAACAATCCATTAATGCTGGTAACTCGTGATAATGCAACATATAGAAGCTGCTGATTATGTGTTTTATTGTATTCATATACAATTTCATCAAAAGTACCACCTTGTGATTTGTGTATTGTGAGTGCACAAGCAGACACTAAAGGAAAATGATTTCTTTTGGCAAATATGATTTTATTTCTATTCATTGGAATAGATGAAGATCTCCTGAGAATCGGCACATCAATCCTACTGATATTAAGAGTTTGAATATGATGTGCAGCTTTCTTCCTAATTAAAAATTAAAATGAAATTATGTAAAATTTATTCACCGATTTTTGTGAAACTGCTGACGAATGTATGATTGTTGATCTGTCGCATGGCAACCTACATAAATATCCGTGGCAGTAGATATTATTTTGTCTTCAACGAGATTCAATATAAATTTATTATATTCCATGACACATTTATTCTCTAAGAAAAGCCTTATTCCATGAGGACATAATACAGCAACCTCTTCTTTTGTAAAAAAAACGTGATTCAATTAATGCAAGTTCATATAGGGTTTGTTTAGCGTTCGACTTACGCATGACATGACGGGAGTGGATACTCGCGACATCAACGCTTACAGCGTCGTAGTGTCCAACTTCACGTTGGCGTTTTCGTTGCATTTGTACGGATTTACACCCGTGTAGCCTAAAGAAATTTTTACACCCATATCGCGCCTAAAGAAGTTTTACTTCAAAAATATGTTAAAATAGTGTAATCTTAACTTGCTTACATTGCACTTACATTGCACAAAAATTATGTTCTTGAAAGACAAGTTGATTAGTTTTTGGAAAAAAATGGTCCAGCCATTTATTGTTTAATAGACCATCAGAAGACAAAGTTTCTATAAGCCTATGTAATAAATTATATTTGGCGTTCAGAGGTCTCCTCCATTGAAGAGATTCTCTGCTAGAATTAATCTGTAGCTGTCTGTATATAATTTAATATTGCAGGTCCTTCGACCATTTCTTCTTGAGTCTTCTTGTTTGAACCATTTTGTAGATAATTTGTATTTCAGCGTTTGAATGATCATCAATTTTGTTGTGGTAAGAACAGCTCCGCGTCTTTATAATTTCATTTACAGTTTTAATTTGCAGGTCCCTGTAGATGGTCTCATTAGTTACGTACTAAGGCGCATCTACCATTGCCCTTAATATTTTGTTCTGGGTACGCTGTATAATTTTTATGTTTGATGCACTTGCACATCCCCATAATTCTATTCCGTAGCTCCATATTGGTACTAGTATGGTTTTGTATAATAAAGTCTTGTTTGCGTATGACATTTTCGATTTTCTGCCAATTAGCCAGTACAGTTGTTTGAATTTTTTCATAGTTTGTTTGCTTTTTTGTTTGATATAGAGACCCCATGTGAGATTACGGTCTAGATGTAGTCCTAAATAATTAATGCTGGTACTAGGAGGAATTTCGATATTATTTATATATACGGCCTCACAGTTTTGAGTTCTCGTTGTAAACGTGATATGTGCCATTCTTCAAGTGCGAATAGATGTTCTTGTAAGTTTAGAGATGCGATTACTGGATCTTGATGTATTGCCATGATCATTGTATCATCCGCGAATGTACCCGTGATTGTGTTGTTATGTGTTGGTAAGTCGTGTGTATATATTGTGTATAAAACTGGTCCTAATACACTACCCTGTGATACTCCCGATTTTATTGGGTAAAAATCTGATACTGCATCTCTTACTCTTGTCCTGAAGTATCTACCAGTCAAGAATGACTTCAGTATTTTATTGGTTTACTATCATTTTTTAATTTTGGCTATCAACCCATCATGCCACACTCTATCGAATGCTTGTTTTACGTCGATGAATACCGCAGAGCAATACTCACTCTCTTCAAAAGCTTTATGAATGATTGAAGTTATCCTATGATCCTGTTGTATAGTGGAGTAAGATTGTCTAAAACCAATTGATGATCTGGTATCGCGGTAAGATTTTCTTGGATTCTTACTAGTAATATTTTTTCCAATAGTTGGTTGAAGATTAATTGGTCTGTATGAAGTAGCTATATGACTAGGTTTACCTTGTTTTTGTAACATTATTACTTCAGAGTTCTTTAGGTCCTTTGGCCGATATCCCAAACATCGCACTCCATTGAATATAGGGCTGCAATTTGTCAAAAAAAGTGATGCAGTATGTTAGGTGAGATTTTAAAGGAGTTGTTGTTCCATTTTCAGCTTTTCCAGTATAACATAACGGTTAATTTGGATGCCTTATGTTATCAGCTGGATAAGCGCTGTACTGTAACGCAACTGTAAGGCAAATTGCTGGAACTTCCAGTATCGTACGAAATGATCGAAAAATATTAAATGTTTTCAAATAGATATATATATCAATAGATATATTTCAATGATGTCTATAAACAATGTTACAATATTTAAAAAAAAATTTGTTTCTAATTTTTTTTCCAAAAAAATTTTTTTTTCAAATTTTTTTTTCCAAGAATTTTTTTTGTATATCGAAAATGATTCAGATTTTAATTTTATTTCTTTTCTAATATACTTTAAACAAATAATTTTAACTTTGCAATTCAGTTTATATAATTCTTATAAATATTATAATATTTAGTGTAATCCACAATCAACGTTTGAAATTTATGTGGTTTATTTTAATAATATTATTATATTTATATTGTCTAGGGTTCGACTATTATTGTATACTCTTCTTTTATCTATGGACATTCGACTATCGACTTGAACTGACTTTAAATAAAGAATTTTAATAAAATGAGTTAATTATTATATTGTCTAGGATTTTAACTTTATAATTCAGTTTATTTAATTCTTATAAATATTAGACAATGTTACAGTAATTATAATAATCTATTTGAAAACATTTAATATTTCTCAATTATTTCGTTACGGTGCGGGAAGTTCCAGCAATTTGCATTAAGGCACGATGTCATTTATTTACTTGCGATAAGCAAGTACGGAGTTAAAATCAATGCTTACTGAAAAATCGTTATTTGAATCTAGCGCCAGAATTATCCTGCTGGTAACACTTTTTCGCCTTTCAAAAATATTTTCCTCCTCTGATACGAATTTTGTTTTGACTGTCAACTGAACAAAAAGTGGCGCTAATTTTATAAACAATTTTATATGTTAATTTTAATTGTTTTAATCGTTTTAAATAAAGTGAAACTACTAATAATTTGCTAAAAATATGTCGTTCAATTCGAAAGATGCAGGTAAATTTTCACACATTAATATTATATGTACCTATATTATGTATAATCCGAATCTACTTGATTTTAGGAATTCCGAGTGAAAAATGTAAGTTGATTCAAAAGTATTCCAATATACTTTCAAATAGGAATTTGGACGTAAATTCTCCAAAGATTAGAACTTATAGCAGAGTCTCTAGGAGAAATATATTGGATACTGATATTTCGAAGACAAATGGGATTAATACGAATAGTACAGAAACAAATGTACAATCGATACCTACAGTTAACATTTTGGGATTATATTTATCATCTACCAAAGCTCAATCTTCATCTAAACCTGAAGATTTCAATAACAATATTAATCAACCAATATCTGAAATTTCAACTCATAAGTATACCAATATAATAGATGAATTTTCTGGGAATTTTAAAGTCAAAGAAAGTCAAGCTGAGATATTAACTCGCAGATGTAGTGCAGGAACTAAGAATGCTTCTACTAAAAATGAATCAAACAAAGTTACCAGTCAAGGTGCCAAAATGATAAGAAAATCCAATGATAAATTATGTGTAGATTATAATGTAAATGAATTATCTAAATTTTCTACCATTTCAACTACTGGAAATGAACTGAATGGAAATGATTTATCAACTAAAGGTGATAAAGCTGGTATGAATATTCAAGCAACCCTTTCTACTTATCGAAATAGTCTTATTGAAGATATGTCTAAAAGTAAAGAAACAACAGCAAAAAATTATCAAGATCGAGAGTCTACTACTCATGTAACAGAACTTCAAAACAGAGGTTCCAGTAATAGTTCCAACCTCGTAAGTGTTTTCAAACTTATTGAAGATAAGATTTTGTCTAAAATTAATGAGATGAGTAACAACACAATTAAAAATGAGCAGAGTCTAACTATCAATACCTTCAAGACAGTAGAATGTAGTAAACAAGGTACTAGTAAAAGTTCAAAGAATTCAAAAGCATCTCATAATGATAATTTAACTAAATATAAGTCTCCATTTGTAATGTCGATTGAAGAAACAAATATTATACCTGAAACTAGTCAAGCGGTCAATAAAATTGAAGCAGCAACTAAGAATGCATCCGAGGCTAATATAAATCTCAATCGGATAAGTCAAACTTCTAACAGAAGCATTAATCTAAATATCGATTCTGATAAAATTGAATGTGATATCGAAGGGGTTATGAAAGATGCTTTGAATATGAATAAAGAAATGGTAGAAGAACCTGAAAAGAAACCAGCGAAAAACAGACGACTTGTGAAGTCCAAGCCAAACTCTATAAAAACTGAACAGAAGAGTCTTTTATCAAGCACGGAATCAAACAAATCTCTCTCTATTATCAAACAATATAAACCTAAGAAGCTATCCATAGCATTAGACAAAACCATGGTAGATGCAATGACGAATACACAACATGAAATCATCAAAAGCAAAACTTGCTCGAGCAAAAAACTGACTGCAATCTGTAATGCTCATGATATTGATACAGGTCTTGAGAATGATATGAGGATTGAAACAAATTCCAAAGACAAAAACTATTTGAACAGTATTTTGTCATCGGGTTGTAAGAGAAAGAAGAATGTTTTATGTACTCTTGATAATGCAAAGGATAAAATTATCAAACAAAGCATACACAACATTGTGGATTTAACAACTGATGAATATGCTGTAAACCCGATTGCTGAATTTCGTTCTGATTATTCTGATGATTTGATGGCAAGTGATAAAGTAGAACAAAATGTATTTATGGATTTGTCAATCGATGATACACCTGAACAAGATAATGATATATCGATCTATGATAGTGATGATTTAATTATAAATGCATCACATCAGATTCCAAATGGCTCATCAAATGCTTGTGAAATATTTGACATTGATTCTACAGATTCAGAACCTGAAATGGTCAATGAAGTAAATTTAAATAGCCCAAGTTACCAAGAACCAATTATTTCCAATGAAGCATCACCAAAAGGTAAATACAGTAGTAAAAATAATTGATGATAAGCCATTAATTGGTTAATTGGTTAATGATCATAGTAATGAATCATCTCTTAAAAACCAATTATTAGTTAATCTGTAGAAAGTGATAGTTAGCACTTCTTGTTTCGTATCAAATACATTAGTTTTTTTAAACATTTTTGTCATAATACTAGGCTTGCACCGAATATTCGGTTGCTATTCGGTATTCGGCATATTCGGCACATTTTTTAATATTCGGCCGAATACCGAATAGAAACTTACTATTTGGACGAATACCGAATAATTAAAATCAAAAGAGCCGCCACCGCCTCTCAGCGAAAATATTGTGTGTATGTTTATTTTTTATGCTATAAAGGTGTTTTATTGCGATGGATCTGCATATTTGGAAGTCTATACACAATATGATTTGAAGAAATGAATTCGTTATTGTATTTTATATTTACAATAATTTAAACTTTATCAACAAACGAACACGCGAAGAACTCTATTCTCAATATTCAAAGGACACGTTATTGTTATATGTTTATATTAAGAATTATTCAACGGTTACACGCATGTGTTGTATCTATATTCAATAAAGTCATTCATCATATTCAATCTAAGCTCTTCTAAATAAAGAGCTATCATAGGCTCTTTATCGCAAAAATACCAACAATATTTTTGGTCTGTTTTTATTTATTTTATTATGATTAGCTTTTCTAACATTCTGTTTATAAAAGAAAATAATAAATGTTTATGAGAGAAGTAAAGTAAAGAATTGCTTTTTGGTTCATTTCCCTATCACATAAAGTTTTCTGTATTTGGCCGAATAGTATAAATGGTGCTAAATTTTCCAAATAAGAATGAGTAATTGAATAATCGTTGCAAGCCTAGGCATAAAAATTGAATACACGTTCAGTACCTTAGAAATAAAGCAACTGCGAATAGTAATTACATTAATATGAACGAGTTTAGGCGCTAAAAACTGCCGAATAGTTGCCGAATATTCGGTATTCGGTCTCTGGAGTATGCCGAATATTCGGTATTCGGCATTTTGTCGAATACACTATTTGTTGCAAGCTTACATAATACATATGTGGAACTATACATTCATTTGAATTGAATCTGAAAGGAAAATATTTGTTATATTTATAATTTCTCGACAGTTTCATTCTGAATCGTTTGAGACAAAAATTGACCTTATCGAGTTTTCGAAGGGCTTTTAAAATTTTTAAATCAGTGCAGCCGTTTTTAAAAAATGCCGACTAAAGGTTACACTCATATTTTTACTGTGTCAAGAGATTCAGAATGGCTTAAAGCACCGAGAAAATATAAAATTAACAAATCGAATTCTCTGGTTAAAACAAACTATGTATTTGGTTGTTCGAAAAGTAACTTCGTTTTTTATAGACATTTTTGCACGTAAGATTCGTACAATAAACAAATTCTTGGATAAATTATGTATAGGCTGTTTTGATGGAACATCTTTATCATATTTCTGGCATTAGCATAATTCCGATATCATATTTTTTTTGGTCGTTATTAGCAAAAACTGATCGAAGTGCTTTTTGACCTCATTTGAGGTAGTGGGAAGCCCCCGAGTGGCGGACAACTAAGGTTATTTATAAACTAGTAGGGTGCATGGCTTCGTGCTTTAAGGCAAATTGCTGGGTCTTCCCGTACCGTAACAAAATGATCGATAAATATTAAATATTTTCAAATAGATTATTATAAATACTGTAACATTGTCTAATATTTATAAGAATTATATAAACTGAATTGCAAAGTTGAAATTATTTGTTTAAAGTATATTTGAACTATAGTCCGAATTAACATTAAAATCTGATTTATTTTCAATATACAAAAAAAAATTGAAAAAAAAAATTGATACAATTTTTTGATAAATTGATAAAAAGCAATTATTTTGTTGAAACAAGCAGAAAGTTCTTTGAATCATTCAAATCGAACGCTTAATTAGTTCTCCCAAAAACTGCCGTTTTTTGTACATTTAGCTCTGTATCTTCGAAATGGCTGGACCTGCCTTTGCAAAAACTAATCAGCACACCTTCCCATCAATATGAATCGAATGTTTTTTGAATCATTCTAATCGGTTGAACCGTGCGCGAAAATGTGGACGAAAAAATGCGGATATACAAATCACACACACACATCCATTTTTTCTGAGGTATGCCAAAATGTTCAGAAACCTTCAAAACGTTGAGGAATGCAAGAATTTTCATTTTCGATTTTCGGCCCATTACTATAACTACCCTACGGGAAGTTAATATATCAAACAATATTTTACGAAATGTTTATTAAATTATGACTTATAACAAAGTTCGAAATCAAACTAAATTAACAAAAACGCAACCATTGCTAAAAATAATTAATACTATCAATCAAACTTCGGGAACAAAAAATATGATTTTAAAAAGTGATACCTAGTACCGGACATTTCAAATTAACCTGCATTGAACACATATGTAGCCATCTCCACACTCTGGAATGTCTGCACATGTGTGTTTGACGAATATTCTTAGATATTGCAAAAAAAAATCACTATTCATCATTTTGGCTGGGCCACACCGACGCTCTCAGCTAGAGCATTCATCATAAGCTTTTCATTCTTTGACTAGGAAATACGAAAAATGGGAGTATGTAGTGACCTTTAGAACACAATACAGAACAAAATTAAATGATTGGAATAAATTACGTCTATTCTCACAAGAAGTATCAATATGTTTACTGTCCGGCACTAAGGGACGACTTAGGTGCTAAGGGACAGATATTTTCGTTTATTTGGTGGAATCTACTAAAATTGGTTAAAAGATCTAATAATATTCTACCATTTTATGGATAACAATCAAGTACTACTTTTATCTTTGAATGCCACTCAAATGTAAATGCATAAATATACTAGAATTACTTCCACTGATATTTAGGTGACGCGGTGATTTTGCGCCTAAAATACCAAACGGTTGCTCCTGGTGTGGCCGTGTGCGTCACAGGCGAGGCTCAGCGCATGATCCTGTGTGCCCCCTGCGCCCCTTTCATTTGTATTTTGAAATGGAAAGATTTATACTCGCTTAAATAATACGTGTTAAATTGAGTGTCCGGCACTAGGTGCCGTCCGGCGTTACAGGACTTCTCCCTAAAGGTTTTATCGCCCAAAAATTTTTTTAATGACCGGAACAAATAATGGTCCAATTACGGCAGGTCTGGAGAATGTGATGAATAGCATTGGGTCCCATTGAAGCTACAAAAGCTTCTGACAATTGAACAAACTTTTGTGAAGTTTTGCGCCGTCTTCATGCAATACTATACGTTGTGATTGTGATTATGAGTTAATTCTGACCTCTTCTATTGAAGTAGATCATTTAGTTTATCCAGCTGAAGACATAAGGCATCCTGGTATGTCATCCTGGAAAAGCTGAAAAACGAACTACTCCTTTAAAATCTCATCAAACATACTGCATCACCTTTTCCTGACGATTTTCAACTTTGCGACTATTTTGAGCAGGTTCTTCTTTTTTGTTTCATAGGCAATTGCGAGTATTGAATCCTTTTTTTTTCCTATTTGACATTTCTAGTGACAAATCGCTTCAAAACCTGATAATTTCCAAGACCTTTCAGAGGCTAATCGTGGACGCCAGTGTGACGACACAGGTTTTTTCTATGAGAATCGTACATTGAGGTTCGAGAAAAATCCCAGACCAGAGATCCTAAATTGTTAAATTTGATAAATTTAAACTCAATGGAATCTTATGTATTGATATTCGCCGGTTTGCATCAACTAATGCCTTTCTCAAAGATTTATCAGCTTCAACCGTACTTCTTGGACGTGGTGCATCTGGACATCAGAATACCAGAAATGAAAATTAGCAAACCTGTTTTGGCACTGTCGAATAATCAACATGTCATTTACACACACATCGGTCAATTTCATTTTGACTTGAACAGTATTTTTACCTTTTCTATTGCAAAAGAGCAAAATATTTCAAAAATGCTGCTTAATCATTTCCTCATTCAAAGTGGCATCATTCAAAAACTACTGCGTGTATTTGATTAGAATTTTATACACACAAACCTTAAAATATAAACTAGTTATTATATAATTTGCAAATCATATAATAACTAGGTGGTGTATGGCATCGTGCCTCATGGCAAATTGCTGGAAATTTCCATACCAAAAATTAATTTTTTAAAAACGATTTTTTTTAAACATTGGAAAAAAAAGATTTTCGAGAAATTAAATTTTTGAAAAAGACTTTTTTGAAAAATAAAGACTTTTTGAAAAAAATATTTTCATTATTTTTGAAATATTTTGAACTGTTTTTCAAAGCAATTGCTCTGCTTTAGCAGCATAGAGACGGAATATCGAAGCGCTTAAGCGCCGCGTCGCTATCTAACGGACAAACGATGTTATGGAACCTGTGTAAACAAAATTTATACGTATTATTAAAACCTCTATAAAATATCTGATAATTTGATGTGCATATGTCTAAAGATCATTTTTGACTGCTAAATGGCATTTTTTTAACTTCCCGAAGGAGAAGTTAAATCAGTCAAATATTTAAAAGCCGTTCGATGTATCTCGATGAGGACTATTGTTTGTCAGTTTTGTGCAACGACCGGCCAAGCTGTTTCTTGATAAATAGCAGAAAAGTGAATAATTTTTCGTGCACGTTTTAGCCCGCAATTCTGAATCAATTTTGAAAATTCAAAAACCCGGGCCGTTTTCTTGTAATAAAGTGTTATAAAAAAAGTTCGACGATTTTTATCATTATTTTTTTTACGGTAGATACTATAGTCTTCTAGATCATACTAAAATATTACGACCCTACGATAACTCGTTTACCTTTAAAAGTTCGCCAAAGTTTGCAAAAATTAATATAGTTTTTTTGGCATTTGTCAAAATTAGACCTTTCATAGACGTTTGCTCAAAAACTGAACCGATTTCAGAAATTCAAAAGCCTTTTGATGTATTTCGATGAGGACTATCGTTTGTCAGTTTTGTGCGACGATCTCCCGAGCCGTTGCTTTGTAATTTGGAAAAAAGTTTTAAACTTTTCGTCCACTTTTAAGCTCATACTACCGAATCGATTTTAAAAAATCAAAAACTGTTCGAAAGATATTTGATGGGAATGATACTGATTAGTTTTAGGTGAAAATCTACCGAGGCGTTTTCTTGTAATTCGTCGTTGAAAAAAAAATTTGAGCTGATTTTTATGAAATATTTTTGATGATATACATCATGGTCTTATACAAATTTACTGAAATATTACGGCCTTACGACAAGTAGTTTAATTTTAAAAATTCATCAAAGTTGGAGAAAATGAGTACATTTTTGTCGTTTGTTAAAATGAAAATTAGACGATTTACTTGGTATAACGATAGAGTACTTGGTCTTAATGAACATACTAAACCGTTGAAGTCCTACGGAAACTGGTTCAACTATAAAAATTATTGATTTTTGAAAATTTGCTTTTAGAAAACACTCCGAGTTAACGTGTTCGTTCGTTTTTAATTATGTGTAATAAATCCACTCGGAATACTTTCAATCACTCATAAATTAATTTATTTTTTATTAATTAAGTCGATTAATTACACATATCGGGAAGATCATGTAACTTTCCTGAAGGCAAAATACCAATACCAACTAGTTCACTAGTTCTGCTTATGCCAAAAACTAATCAGCACGCCTCCTTATTAATAGGAATCGAATGATTTTTGAATTATTCCAATTGGTTGATCGGTGTTCCTGAAATGGTCGACGAAAATTTGTATCCGCACACACATACACGCACACGCATATATGCATCCATTTTTTCCAAGGTATGCCAAAATGTTCAGAAACCTTTGAAACGTGAAGATATATTAATATTTTTTAATTTCCCGTAGGGCGGGTGCGGATACAAATTTTCGTCGGCGATTTCGGGAACACGGATCAACCGATTTGAATAATTCAAAAAACATTCGATTCGTATTGATAAGGAGATGTGCTGATTAGTTTTTGGCGAAGGCAGGTCTAGCCGTTCCGAAGATACGGGGCTAAAAGTGCCGAAAACGGTAACTCAGTTTTTAAGAGAACGGAGCGTCCGATTTGAAAAATTCAGAAAACATTTCACTTGTATTGACAAGATGAAGAATTGATCAAATTTTCATGAAGGCAGGTCAGCGGTTTCAGAGATCTAATGAAAAAAGTAAAAAAAAAATGCCATTTGGCGGTTAAAAATGATCATTAGACATATACACATCAAATTATCAGATATTTTATAGAGATTTTAACAATAAGTATAATTTCTTTTTACATTTCTATGGGTTTCGTACCAATGCTTATGCGTTAGACGGCGGCGCGGCACTTGCGCGCTTTGACATTTCGTCTCTATGCAGTTCAAGTAGTACGATTGCTTTGAAAACTAGCTGTAAGTGGAATTCTGTCTTAAGGCAATTAAGGCATCGTGCCTTAAGGCAAATTGCTGGAACTTCCCGTACCAAAAATTATTATTTTTTTAAAAACGATGAACATTTTTGAAAAAAATTTACTTCGGAAAAATAAGATTTTTGACAAACAATTAGACAAAAAATTACTTTTTTTTAAAAAAAAAAATTTAATTTTTTTTTTTTAATTTTTTTTTTTTGAAAAAAAAATGTTTTCTTTATTTTGACATATTTTGAAAGATCTAAACTTTTTTCGTACTGCTTTAACTGCATAAAGACGAAATATCAAACCGTCGAAATTCAAATAAAATTCAAATATTAAAAGATGAAATATCAAGACGTCTAACGCGTAAACATTGGTACGGAACCCATAGGAATGTAAACCAAAATTATACTTATTGTTAAAATCTCTATAAAATATCTGATAATTTGATGTGCATATGTCTAATGATCATTTTTGACCGCCAAATGGCATTTTTTTTTACTTTTTTCATTAGATCTCCGAAACCGCTAGACCTGCCTTTTTGAAAATTTGATCGGTTCTTCACCTTGTCAATACAAGTAAAATGTTTTTTGAATTATTAAAATCGGACGATCCGTTCTCTTAAAAACTGAGTTACCGTTTTCGGTACTTTTTGCCCCGTATCTTCGGAACGGCTAGACCTGGCTTCGCCAAAAACTAATCAGCACGTCTCCTTATCAATACAAACCGAATGTTTTTTGAATTATTCAAATCGGTTGATCGGTGTTCCCGAAATCGTCGACGAAAATTTGTATCCGCACATACATACATATACACACACACATACATCCATTTTTTCTAAGGTATGCCAAAATATTCAGAAACCTTTGAAACATCGAGAAATGCAAAAAAAATCATTTTCGATTTTTTTGCGATTACTATAACTTGCCCTACGGGAAGTTAAAAAGTTCAGAATTTCCAAAATATGTCAAAATGAAGAAAACATTTTTCTTTTCAAAAAAATTTTGTTTTCAAAAAAAAAAAATTTTTTTTCAAAAAAAAGTAAATTTTTGTCAAATTTATAGTTTCTCAAAAATCTCATTTTTTCGAAGTAAATTTTTTTCAAAAATGTTAATCGTTTTTAAAAAAATGATAATTTTTGGTACGGGAAGTTCCAGCAATTTGCCTTAAAGCACAATGCCTTAATTGCCTTAAGACAGAATTCCACTTACAGCTTCTTTTCGATTTTTTTTTTGCGATTTCTATGACTTACCCTTCGGGAAGTTAATTAAGTATGATTGTTAGGTTAAAAAAGATATAGCTAAAGCCTCTGGGGTAAAAAAAAACGAAGTAACTTTTCGAACAACCTTATACTTCGGGAAGTTAAAAAAACAAAATTTACAAAAAAATATTTTTCAGCAGGTGGATCAATGAGCACGAATATAAGTCTGGATAAAAGTCGAACAATTGAATCGAATTCTTACAATAAAATTGAAACTATAAATCTGAATGGCGATGATCATATTGACTTTTGTACGGAAGCACAAATAGATTTGATTAATAATAACATATATAATATTGATCCTAAGTATGCATCGATCATCAAACCATGTTCGGTTGTATTGGAAGATTGTTTGGAACCTGTACACATCGAACCTGAGATTGATATAAATATAGAAACCACAGTACATGCATGTATTCCCTGTAATGAAACTTATACGACCTTAAAAGATTTAAAAAAACATGTATATACAACGCACGTAAGTGACACAACCACTAAATGTTTCATTTGTGATGTCGAAGTTACAAACATGAACAATATGACCACGCATATATTGACTCACATGCTTACGGTTATTTATATTTGTAAAATTTGTAGCGCAGTGAAAGAAACTCAGGAAAGTTATGATGAACACATGCTTACCCACCGCAAGAAAAATTTTGTGTGTGATGTATGTGGTAAAACTTGTTCAACCCTATATACCCTGTCCAAACACAAAATAGTACATCAGCCAGAAAGATACAAATGCAAGGTATGCAGCAAAATATTTGGTAACACACAGAGCCTCAATCAACACATGCTGATTCACGGGGAAAGGAAATTTGTCTGTGAAATTTGTGATGCTACATTTTACAGAAGACAAGCTTTAAATGTTCACGTGAAGATGCACAGCACAGAACGTGCCTACAAATGCAACTTTTGTTCTAAGACTTATATAACTAGAAGTAATTTGGTATCGCATGCACGAGTTCACGATAAAACAAAACAAAAGAAGTGTGAATACTGTTCGAAAACATTTCTTACAAAACAAGCTCGCCTACAGCATTTGTATAAGTATGAAAATGTCCAACTTCATCAATGTAATTTGTGTAAGAAAGTTTATGAAACTTTAAGTGAATTGAAAACTCACGAGCAGAAGCACAATGGAGATTTGGAAACATTCCAGTGTCGAATATGTGGAGAACTTTTCAGGTCGAAGGTGAAATTGAGTCATCATAGAGAAGGCTGCAGGGAAAAAAATGATTCTAACTTGGTTGATTTGTCCATATAAGAAATCTGATAAATAAGTTAGTTTTATTGTTAGAATTTTTAATATGTTTATATAGAAACGTTCATCTTATGGTAAACGGTTATAAGAATTTGTGTGATCTCTTCATGTCTGTTCTTAAATTTATTGTTTGTGATTCCACAAACAATCTTCTTTCAATATTGTTATCTGTATTTTAAAAAATCATATGTTTTGCATTTAACATATGCTTTATTGGTGTGTGTGTATATATATGGCATGTGCATATTGAATTTTATTGCATAACAAACTACCTCCTGCATTATTTATCATAAGATCGAACAATGTTTTTTTACAGTTAGACTATAAAAAAAAATTATATGAATATTTTATACAATCATTAGTTTTATTAATATGAACTGATAATATTAATTATATAATAATATATATTATTATGGTAATATACAATATTACTATTTATATTATTTATGAATGAAAAATGTACAAGTTATTAATGTATATCGTCCATATATCGTGTTGTAAATTCTTGATTAAAATATGTAACAAAATTAATATAAAAAAGGGTTTTTATATTTACAGAAAATTTTATTAAATTTTTAACAAGATCTACACGTTTATTTTGTGATTTGGGAACGTAACAATAACGAGACCGTTATGGGGAAGTCCCCTAGTGGCGGAGACCAAAGGTCATAGATAAGGAAATAGATAGAAAACTTAGGGGATATTTCGTAGTCAACGGAATAATTGCACATTACGACGCTAGAGGCGCTAGTGTTCGTAGCAGGCTCCAGAACTTTTTGCAAAATAAAAGTTTAAATACAAGATAATTTTGGTTTATTTAATTGTAGATATATGAGTTTAAACCCATTTATATCTTACTTATATGTAACAAGCCATGCACATGCAATTTATCAATTATACGTATGATACACATGTTTAAATGTTAACTATCTATTATATAAAAATAAGTCGGGTTTTCCTTTCTGACAAAATAACTCCAGAACGCACGAACCGATTTCGACGATTTTGCATTCGTTGGAAAGGTTCGGGTTCCGTGATGTTTATAGCAAAAAAAATTGAAGAAAGATTTCAACAGAAAAGCGGAGAACACTTTTTCTTTTTCCACATACAGCGCCATCTCTGATTCTTAGCATGTACTACAACTAATACTTTTTGTTTGACTGCTACTCATTGTTCTCTGCTCAGTTAATTTCATGTGACAAACCGGCATTGTGTTCACTGTGAAATTGTGCTAAAAAGTAAAAAAATAAGTTCTTCGTTTCCTATCATTTCAATTGGAAACCATCAAATCAATCACGTGTATTGTGCAAGTTTTTATTCAATTTCAGCAGCAGGTCATTTTTTTCTCCATCTTTTAATCACCAAACAAAATGTTACATAAAATGAAACCATCTGGTGGTGAAACGGAGTTTGCCCGGTTGTCTAGTTTGATATATAACTGATATCACAAAAACATAATAAGACTCTAAAGACTTCGTTCAATGAATAGTTTCTTTTTGAAAATATTTTGCATACATTACGATCTTGCTACTAATATCATATCATCTATCTCCACATGAAAATATTTAACAAAATATAAGTGACTCTGCATCAACCGAAATATTGGGCAAAATACCGATAGCATAAAACTGTTAATCGCAAAAAGAATCAAAAACAAGATTAAGATATTAACGTATATCTTTAAGTTATAAGTATATCGTGACAATAATGAAAAAATGTTTAGAGACTACAAACTAAATACAAAACTTAAGTGAAAGTCGACACATCGTTTTTTTGTTTTTGACATATGATGTATTCATTGTTTTGCTCGCAGACTAGATCGAATAATTGCGATAGCTGCGCTAACTAGCGTCGTAAGCGCGAGTCATCTAAGCGATCACCGAAATTTCTTAGAAGTTTGCTCCCCCTGCCTGAGGTTATTTACAAATAATACAAAACAATTTTACGAAATGTTTACTAAATTATGATTTATGTTACATAACAAAGTTAGAAATGAAACTAAATTAACAAAACCGATATCTTCCCTAAAAAATTATTAATACTAACAATCAAATTTTGGTATCAAAAAAAAATGATTTTAAACAGTGACACCTAGTACCGGACATTTCAAAAAAAACCTGCATTGATCACATATGCAGCCATTTCCACACTCTGGAATGTCTGCACATGTGTCTTTGACGAATAATCTTAGATATTGGAAAAAAAGTCACTTGTATTTTGAAATGAAAAGATTTATACTTGCCTAAATAATACGTGTTAAATACAGTGTCCGGTACTTGGTGCTGCCCGGCGTTACGGGACTTTCCCCTACATTTAGCACGATTTAGAAAGTTGACGTTACGTTTTTGAGACGCCTGTGTGCCTTCTAGGTTACATAACCGTTAAGTTTGATGTTACATCTGTTACGTTATATTAACATTTTAATTGCATTTTGTGGTTTACTGGGTATTTAATATTCATACTTGAAAATGGTAAATATCAGGATTTCTTATTTTATGTTTATTACTTTTTAAGCCACAATTTTGTGGTACCATTAAATGATATATAATTGGAACAGACCTTTTAAATACCTAAAATGAAAAAAGGTCTGAAATTCTATATTAATATCATACATTATATTTTGTATTATTGCATATATAATATACAATATTCCATTATATTCTTACGAACTATATTAATATTATATTCATACTTCTATCTAGTTACATAAATATATTATATATTATAATAAATATCTTATTATAAATAAGTATGAAAATTTATGTTATTGTTTTAATGTATGCGTTTGTGTCATTTATTAATAATAATCAATAGCTAAAATGTAATTATTTGTAATTTCATAATATATAGCAAAATTGTTAATCGATTAAATAATAATAAAATTTTAGTCTTAGTTTTATTGTTAGTTCACATATTTGTGAAAGAAGTGTTTGAAATAAATAAATCAATCATAAGTTTTGCAATTTATCCAATAGTTAATAAACATTATTTTTTACGATTTTAAAATCCAACAGTTCAGAATACCCGATAGTCTGTCATTTTTCCGAAAATTTCATTTTTTCAGCAATATGCATTTACAGCAAATGAAAACGCTCGAGAACTTATTTATCTATGCTCGAGAGCTATTAAAATGTATTCGTGGTGGTTCGGAATTGCTCGGAAGGGCTCGCTATTGTTCGGTAATCTTTGTGTTCACGGTAAATTCCGTTGTGTCTAGATTCATGAACGAAGTATGTTCTACGACATACGTAGGGTTTAAGGTTTTGACCGTATCTTAAGTTAGTCTATGTAATACGGCGATACAGTACATATTTATCAGTAAATTTAACTTTGTTTACAACAAACTTAGAAAAAATAATCCCATATTAAAGTAATTAGAAATATCATATTTCAATTCTCATTGCTCGATGCCCATAACATTTGCTAGCGACTAGGTTTATGCACAGATCGAGAAAATCAGTTATTTAAGGTACAAATGTGTTTCGAGATCAAAATAAAATAAATTAAAAAAAAAATCATATTAACCATCTACTTCAAAAAAATAATTTTAAATGTAGAATTAAAATCATCATAGTAGTAGTATAATAGCCAGTCTATTATTTTAGTTACAAATGTAAGTCTCGAGTTAAAAACATAAACTAAAGAAAACACTTCTTTGAGAACAATTTGTATTACAAATCATTATATACAAAAAATCAATGTGAAGACAACATTAGGTCAAAATCTCACTATTCAGGTAACTATTTTAGAAATATACTAACGAAACAATTCAGTTTCATCAAATAAGCATTCTAAGAGTCCTTTTTAAAGCAATGGTGTAATTATTATATTCAATTCAATTGATTATTAGAATGACAATAATTCAATTATCATTGCTCGATAGATAATATTTTTGTCATGGACTAGGTTTTTAAGTTACTTTAGTACAAAAGTAACTCTTGAGTTCAAAATTAAACCAGGACAAATATAGTTTATATACAGTCCACTTTAAAAACATAACCGTGAATAGCTACGAGTAGGATGATTATAGTTCAAATAATATTGCTCGATAAATATAACATTAGTCATCAACTAGGTTCTTGTATAGATCGAGAAGTCTTTCAGTTATTTTAGTTACAAATGTAAGTTTCGAGTTGAAAACATGGACTTAAGTAAACACTTCTTCGAGAACAATTTGTGTAACAAATCATTATATACAGAAAAACCAATGTAAAGACAACATAGGTTCAAAACCTCACTAATCGGATAACTCATTTCAGAAATATACTAATATTTCAATATAGTTTTATCAAAATATCATACAAGAAAGCATTTTTATAGCAATGATTAAGTGGAATTACTATATTCAATTCAATTGTTTATTAGAATCATTGTAGTTCAATTATGTTTGCTCGATGAATGTTGCATTTGTCATCGACAAGGTTCTTGCACAAATTGAGAAGTCATTCAGCCTAGTTACAAAAGTAAGTCTCGAGGTAAATATATAAACTAAAATAAAACACCAATCTAGAACAATCTAAAAAAGCAATTGAGAGACCAATTCCAAAAACCACACCCTTCAGATATGCCATCGTAAGATGATCATAAGTTATACGTAAGATGATCAGGAGAAGTTAAACAAGTGTTTTAGTTACAAAAGTAAATCTAGAGTATAATCATGACAAATCAATGTGATGAAGTAAATTAATCATTTTGTAGAACAGAAAAAACTTAAAATTAATAACTTACATGCCATAAATCCACAAACACAAAATGGCGTTGTCAAATTGAATTGCCATCCAAGGGGGCCCTTCAAGGCTTTCTTTACATGTTCTCAAACCGTTTTGGAAAATGCAATCCCAATTATCCATTACCACACAATTAACGATATAATAATAAATCTAATTAAATATTTAACTTGTTCTTTTGCACTGTCACAAAATATTAAAATCACATATTAGGATTTATAATTCTTGTCAAGTTAGGTTAGTGTGCAATTGTGAAATAAACTGTCACTGTACGAT